AAATCTTTAAAAAAAAAAAAAAAAGACAGCCTAATCCTAATTGTTGGCGTTTTCTACAACAGGTAAGCATTTCTTCTGTCACATAAAATAAACAACGAGGTTTAACCTGGCAATCAGCAAATTAACACTACCTTGTATAATATTCTCTATTTCTGATTATGGAAGTTACCCTTGTTCATTTTAGAAAATTTGCAAATATCTGAAAAATATAAAGAAGGAAACAAAGATGACAGCCCAAAAATTCATTTTGGCCATTTTCTGCTGTCACTTTCCTGAGTACATGAGAAAGGTACATGTGTGAATAGGACTTCCTAACAGAGATCGGACTACACGCTAGCACACCCCCACTCCGCCACTCTGTAACACTAGACAGTCCCCGAAGCCCATGTCAACGGGTGCGTAATAAATATGAGTTTCGTTGGAATCAGAATTTAATCATCATGCATTCTTGGACATCACGGTCCTTTTCTGCTGCCAGCGTCACAGAAAATGATACAGGTGAGTACGTTACACAAACACCTTGGCTGGCATTTCTGATGTCTTTCCCTTAGCGTCCATCACATATCACGTAGTCAGTTATATTGGAGGCATTCTGAACTTCTGACACATTACCAACTCGATCATGGCAGTTTTTATTCTCATTTTTATGTCTTCCTGTACTGGCTGAGTTTTTTTTACAATGAGCATGTATTACTTTAATAATCAGGAAAAAAAAATAGTTGTGTAATCTCCATTTAGAATACACCAAGATTCTGTTCCAGGAAGCACAAGTTCTTAGTGAGCCCCACGACTGCAAGCTCTCACACGGCAACTCACCACGAAGAACTGACTGCAGGAACCACCCAGAGTCAATTTCGCCAAGGCCAACCAAGGAGACTTACTGTGAGCGCGCGCGTGGTGGACGTGACCAGTTCACGGGAAACTGCCGCGATGACTCTGGAGAGGTTGTTTTCCACAGTGACGTCCGTCATGCTCGGCAGTAAGTTATAGCCTCTGTATATTCTAATGAGAAAAACACGGAAACTTAAAACCTACTACTAAAGCTTATGACACTTCCAAAATTCAAATGGCATTTCTAAGTTTAAGATTAAGGCCTACGAGAAGTTCCAGCAGTCTTGACTTTGACGTGACAGACCGACCGGAAGTGAACCCAGCCCAGTCCGCCCCGAGCACCCACGCCGTGGCGCCCCGGGCCGTGCTGCCTCGCCACAGGCTCACGGCCCCCTCTCCACCCATCCAAACCACTCATCTTTCAAACTTCTAAGGTGAAAGAAATCCTTCTTGAAGCCAGTCCCGACTGCAGGAAAGACGAAAGTGCTGGTTCCACTGCGGGGCCGCTGCGGTGCTTCCCGACACCACACTCACGGCACGCAACGATTTCCACCCCTTGCTGAGGTTACAGATCCTGAGTCCCCAGCCCTATCGGCAGAGCCCAAGCAGGACTAGTGCTGGATTCAGTTCTGAATCGCCCAGTGTCCTCAGAACCCAACAAAACTCAGAGACTCCTTTTCTTCCCACATCAATTCTCAAACAGCAGACAGCTAATAAGGTGCCAACGGCGCAGCTCAGCTGGCCACGGAGCTGGCCACGCAAGAACCAAATAACACAGCCAATGTCCAGAGGCCAGCCTGAGCTTGAAACAGGGAAGACTTTCGGGAGCCTGGGTGGCTCAGTTGGTTAAGCAACTGCCTTCGGCTCAGGTCACGATCCTGGAGTCCTGGGATCGAGTCCCACATCGGGCTCCCTGCTCAGCGGGGAGTCTGCTTCTCCCTCTGACCCTCCTCCCTCTCATGTGCTCTCTCTCTCTCATTCTCTCTGTCTCAAATAAATAAATAAAATCTTAAAAAAAAAAAAAAAAGAAATGGGGAAGACTTTCACAGTAGTAGTGAGTAACCAATTTTAATGCGATATTATACTCATCTCTGCTGGCATTTTCTGAACTGATGCTCAGAAAAAGCAATTTACCTTAAGCTTGTTCAACTCCTGATGAGACCCTCTCACGCTGCTTTTGCTTATCTTTAACGAATATTTATCCCGAGTCTTCTCAGAGAGAAGAAAAGACCACTTCTTAGGTTTACAAAAAGGAAATTCTCTGAGAAAATTATGTCCACGTGTGTTTTTAAAGCAATCTTTACATGAGATGTTATCTATTGAGGAATAACTTCCAAAATCTGACAAGCTGAGTTCCAAATTCACAACAAAAGCATCAAGCAAACATCTCAGTCTTGACAGCTAAGCTTTTAAAAAATATTGCCACTAACAAACAGGAGAGCTACATATAAAACTCATTTTTAAAGTAACATTTAAAACACAGAGAGTTAAACTGCATGAGATAGTCTTTTATGATCACTTCTGCAGCCTTCTTTGCAAACTAAAATGCAAAGGAATGATTGCTTCATTAAAGCGTTTCTGCACTAACAACTTCCACAGTCTGTGCTCGTCTGAGGCCCGACAAGCGCAGGCTGGATGCCACCAACGGCAACAGCATTTAAAAGTTTCTCACAACAACGTGAATAGTCCTAAGTGCAAAGCACTGCACCAGTGGACAACCCTAACTAACCCTGCCGAGCCCCCTAACAGTCGGGGGTAGAGCACACAGATAGAGTGATAGAGTGAAAACGTTACCGGACAAGGTTTTAGGTAAGACACAGCATAAGCATCACACACAAAAACACACTTATGAGTAGGTGGCTGGTAGTGAGCGGATTAGAAGATTCATGCAGTCCTCGCTGCGACTATGGCCGAGCTTCCTAAATGAAGATGGGTGGCGGATCCCAGAAAGGACAAACTACCGAAGGAGAGCACCTACGCAAACGCCCTCACCTGAAGCTTCTTCTAGAGAAAGCACGAAGTGTCAGGAAAGTCCCCCTCCCACCCATGACGTCAGGCCACACGCAGCACACGTACCTGGTGATGGTGCTGACGGAGAAGTGAGATGGAGGCTGCGTCTCGTGCATGAGGAGCTTCAGGTAAACACTGCTTTGATCTCTCGCCACAGCCACGACAGGGTCAGCTTGTCCTTGGTCGCACTTGTAGAACAGCTTTGGGACAAGCCTACCGTAGAAGTAAAGTATACTTACTGACGGAAGTCTCTGAAACTCACCTGTGATGCACCACCCTCCTCTGTCGAGGTGGGGAAGCCTGCAGCACAGTCTACCCACTAACAGCAGCTCCCTCCTTCGGGGGGCCCTCCAGCCCAGCAGAGCGGGGCTGCCGGTCCCAGGACCAATCGCCCACACACCAGTCACGCCAACCCTGATATGACGAGGCGCCGTACTGCCTTTCTGTCCGTCGTGGAATTAAGTACCTTTCTCTACATATAATAAAATGCTCTGATTTAAAGTTCTCTTTCCAGTCCTCTTGAGCAAGATGAATAGGTCCATGAAGCCACTGTTCACAGAAAGTACTAGAGCACAGAGCAGATCTGAACACCAGGGGCCGGCCCTTACTCCCTTTTGCAGTTCTGCCTGCAACACCAGCCCACACACTCCCAGATGGCAAAGCTCCAGCAGACGTCCCTCACAAATCTAAACTCCCCTCAAAAGCAGAATACAGGCAACATTTCCCGAAAGAGCAGAAGGGCTCGTTTCTGCAATGGACAAGGCATGTTCTGCATGAGTGTACTCATACCCTTGTGGACAGGGCTCATAACTCTTAGAAACAACTGTTTCATCACATTGCAAACCCCAGGATCCTTAATTAAAATCTCTCTTCTGTGGAGATATGATCATAAGTACAACTTTTTTCTAAGGTAAAATAAATGGCTATCATTTGCAGAAAGTGGGAAAGGTCCAAAATCGTTGATTAGGCAAGTCATACTAACCCAGTTAAGTGCACGAAAAGGTACACCTCACAAGTAAACAAAGAAATATGCAAATGACAACACTGAAAACAGAAAAGATATACATCAGGGGTGCCTGGGTGGCTCTGTCATTAAGCGTCTGCCTTCAGCTCAGGTCATGGTCCCAGGGTCCTGGGCTCGAGCCCCACATCGGACTCCCTGCTCAGCGGGAAGCCTGCTTCTCCCTCTCCCACTCCCCCTGCTTTGTGTTCCCTCTCTCGCTGTCTCTGTCAAATAAATAAATAAATAATCTTAAAAAAAAAGAAAAAAGAAAAGAAAAGATATACATCAAAATGGAACTTTGGTTTTGATTAGTTTGATCACAGAGATTTTTATTTCCTATTTTATATTTTCCCTAAATTTTGTTCAGCAAACATGTGTTATTACTTTTAAAAGATAAGTTATTTTAAAAAGAAATGCCAATTTCTGCCTCAACAATCGATACGTATTTAACTTTTTTTGAAATATTTTTTTGGTGAGAAGAATCGGGCACAGTCATATTCTGGTCATTAAGAAGTAGAGACTGGTATGTTTCTGGACACCAATTTCACAGGAAGTACCAAAACCCATAAGAAATCCACTTCTAGGTACTGACCCAAAAGAAATGAGAACATATGTCCACACGACGTCTTGTGGGCAAATGTTCAGCCAGCACAATCCATAGTAGCCAAAAAAGTGGAAGTAATATCAATCATCTGGTGACTGGGTAAAGAAAAGACAGTGTCGCCCCTGTAACAGAGAACTATGTATGCGGCAATAAAAGGAACACACTCTGGTACACACGACAGGATGGACGAACCCTGAAAACTAAGGGGAAAAAGCGAGAGGCAAAAGTCCATCTACTGTATGATCCCATTTATATAACATGTCCAGAAAAGGAAGTGGATTCGTGATTGCACGTGGGCACAAGGGAGCTTTCTGGGGTAATGGAAATGTTCTAAAACCAGGATCGTGGTGATGGCTACATGAATCTGTAAGTTTACTACTAATCATTAAACTGTACACTTAAAATGGGTGAATGTTAAGGGATATAAAATCATACTTCAGTAAAGCTAGGAAAAATTAAAAAAAAAAAAAAAGCAACAACAACATCAGAAAGCTTGGCCTAGTAACTCAACTTCCAGGAATTAATTCTAAGGAAAAAAATGTACACATAAACATTTGTGTGTAACAATATTCATGAGCATTATTCATTATCTAAGTCAAAGAAAACTTAACATCCAACCAAATAATATTTACATAAAAGTTTATCGCAACTACAGAATAAACTACTGGCCACTAACTACAATTTCTTTTTCTGAAACAGCATCCATAGCCTTCACTGATCTCACTCTGTATGACATGTCACGCACTTCAGTACAAACATATGAACATATCTGCGCACAGGGTGCGGCCCTAGACATCACTGGTGGTCACAGTTTTTTTTACAGCACTTCCTTCACAGCAGGAAGATGTAATAACATATTAGGTGGAAATGATCAGATCACAAAATTGCACGTACACTTGGTCCCGATTCTGAAGAGACTTATACACAGGATATACCTCAACATGTTCACAGTGATTATCTCCAGTGACAAAAATGAAGGAGATTTCTATTTTCTTCTTCGTGCTCTCCTCTATATTCCAAGCTTCTGACAGTGAAAGTGCGTCGCTTTTACAGCAGGAGGCTAGCCGTTTTCACCCTCACTTTAGACTCCTGGGCAGTAAATAGTATCTTTTCTGATAGTTTTGGAAGAGCTGAAAGTGAGCGCCAGGATCTGGGAATGCTGACCTACTCTCTGGATGACCCAGCTCCCCTCCTCCTACCACTTAGTGCTTCCACCACTAAAGTGAGCAAAGAGAGAAAATGCGTGGTAAATACCTCATCAAAGCTGCTGCGGCAACGTGCCGCACCCTGGGGTCCTCGTCCCCGAGCAGATAGATGACGACATCATGCAGCACTCGTTCTTGCAGTTTTAAAAGCTTCAGAGAGAAGGATAAAAAAACTAGATATGACGTCTGTCTTTAACCCAATTTCAGGTAAGATACTCTGGAAGGCCAGTGAGGGAGAACTCACGATCACCAGCCTTAAATTCACACACACAAGCACGACTGTCAAGACCTGAATCACAGAGTCGATCTAGAACAGAGCGCGCTGAGAGGAGACCCACACCCCTGGGAAAGCGCAACTCCTAGAAGTTACGACACGGCCTCATAACAATGAACTGCTTACCCCTGTGTAATGATGCGCCCCTCTGTGCAGGTTTTCTGCTTTTGCCTCCAAAAAGCTCACCAACCTAACAAAAGAACATTTTTAACACGAAACAATTTAGTGAGTCCACAGACACCCACCGTCGGCCTGCATGACCCTGACACACAGGACACAGAAGGCGGCTGCTCCGGAGGGGGCTGGGCCGGCCACCCAGAAGGCCGGAGAGAGAGCACTTCCTCAGACCCACAGAAGGACGAAGGTTTTTAAGTAAGTAGAGCTCATATTCCCATCCTCATTTCAGACTCTGTAAACTGTTTTCTTCAAAATAAATATCACCATCTATCACTGTGAGAGACTCCAAGTGGCCTCAGAGTGAGCTCAGCCACCAGGGAAGGTGAGTGCGGACTGTGGGGAGCCCCGCACGGCCTCGGGCAGGTTCCTTGCCCCCTCCCCAGGGTCCTTTCCAGTGGGCGGAGCTGAGAGGAACCCCTCATTCAGAGAGATGTTCTGAGGGAAAAAGAAACTAACCACTAACCACTCAGGGCAATAGCCCTGAGCCTGGCACATAACAAGGACTTTGTAATAGCTGCTTGAAGAACACCCAAATGCCTGGGTAATAAAAGAAATTTCCCCTTCTAAAAGAAAGCACTGGAAGAAAACATCTTAAACCAAACTTATTCCTAGAAAATGCAGAAGGCATCAAGTTATTTTTTAATTGCAACAGTACAGACAGGCTGTCTGACCTAAGTCCGGTATAATGAGGAGGACGTTCCCTTTGTACATACAAGCAGGAGTGATAGAAGTCTGAGTTCTATCATTCCCGCCATCCAGGACGCTTAGATGACTGAGACCACCAGAAAGATCTACTCCTCTGCCCGTATTTTAAAATCGCAAGCACAGAGCAAGCTGAGGAGGAAACCAGCATCAGCTCTCCACGCCACCCAGATTCCCAACTCACAGGTTACTCGACGACCATCACAAATCAGTACTAGAAGCAACTGGCCCAGGCCTTTCGATTCCTGGCTCGAACTCCCAGCAGCTTTGGTTTACAGACCTAAGGAACCTGATTCATCACTTACCTAAAGTCAATCTCTGCAAGAGTTTCCAAAAGCTCTGTCCTCACCAGCCAGTAGGAACTATCCCTCAAGGTCAGCATGTCGGTGATCAGCTGCAATCCCAATTCGCTATAGCTACTGCTGCAGAGACTCATGACACAGTGCTGGAAGACAAGGCCGCCGCGGGACGGCGTCGGGGTCAACCCTGTGCCGTTACTGCCTCCTGACAGTTATGACATCACGCCTCCATATACCCGTTTCCTCTTCTTCTAACCGCAGCAGGGATGCTGCATTTTTCCCACATCTCTCAGAAACGTCATTAACTCAAGTTTAAAACTAAATGTGTCCCTTCCACATCACTTTGTTTCTTTCTCCCTCCCACTGCTGTCTTGGTCATGGCCTCTACTCCCAGACACCAATTTCGCGACCATGGATCAGGGGTAAACCACTCCATTCTAAAACAAGTCTCAGACCCGGGGCCGACAGGGGACCCGTGCCCTTTGCTAAGCGGCCGGGTACTCCGCGGCCCCCCAACAACGGCAGAGCCCCCCGTGGCCGCGCCCTTCCCACCCCTCAGTGCACACGTGGGCACTTCCATACAGCAGATGGGAGCTGACTCGGGGCCAGCAATCTGCTGTGCCCCTGGAGAGATAGACTGACTGAAACCTGGCGAACATTTGGAACTAAGGAACAATTCTGGCCATGAAATTTTGAAAAGGGAAGGTATCCTATTCATTTGACAACTGTTGGGTTTTTGCTTTCATTTTTACTGGTTAATTTTTACTGTTGTTGATTGGCCAGTTGTGATTTACTGATCAGGTGATCTACAGAGGTTCACCACGCTGCTGCGTGAAGGCTGGAGGCGCTGCAGGGACGCAACACAGGGTCACTAAATAACCTCGAGACTCCTCTTGACTCCGCTCTGTGGGCCCGAGAGCGCCGGTGGTGTTTAATTCAACAGGTTTTAACCTTCGTGTTGGCAAAGTATATTTCTAAATAGACCCTTTAGAAAAAGGAACATTTCAAACAAACACTCTGAGTACTGAAACTTACACTACACTCTTCCTTTACCGGTAATGCTTTCTTCCTGCAGCGGAGTGATGGACACACGCACGTTTACTATTGTTTACAGCTTTAGAATGTCTAGGACTATTCAGTATTAAGCCCACTTTTAGTTATAACAATGGTAAAATCTCTACTAATCAAAGAACCGATTTCCACAAAAGATTATGCTTACCCTCGCAGCTGTACAAGCCAACTTGCAAGTCACAGAAGATTCATCCTTCAAAGTTTTCTGCAGCAAAGGAATGCAGTCCGCCAGAGAAAATGTATTTCCTGACCAGAAGAGCAAACAGCAAGTGCCTTTACGTAACCTTGAACTTGGGCGTTCTACCTAGAAAATACCCTGAAAACTCTGCCCTTACCTGTCAGGGCCCTGATAGTGCTCATCCAGTCTCCCACTTGGAAGCGGGACCTGCTGAGGATGGAGGAGATGAGGGTCCCACAGAGAACGGCCGTGGCTCCTCTGACCTGGGGGTCTCCGTGATCGATGTAGTTCAGGATGTCTGACACATACTGCTCCTCTGTAGAGATAAATTGCCCAGCCACTGTATAAGCCCCTACCATCAATTTTCTCTCTCAAAATAAAAGCTTCATTCTCAGAGAAGAAAAAAAAAACAAGGGTGAGGGGGCAATCCAAATCTAGAAGAGACTTGAATGTAACAGCCATGAGTGGTAAAAAATATTGTGGGGTTTAAAGATTCTAGATTCACCATAGCTCTGATATCACTTCAACACAATAGATGTTCTGGATTATAATTCCAGGCTGCCGGCCAATAATCAAAATTCCAAGATTTCACTTCAAAAAAAAGACTAGAGAAACTCAAACTAGTCCACACTTACCTAATATGAATTCAAAAGCACAAGTGTGTCCCCTCACCCAAGAAAGGGAGGGAACGGGAGGGTAATTTTAGAAGTGCGGCCCCTCCCCCATTTACTCCAACATGAGAGTGGGTCCCAGCGTGCGCTACAGGGGCCGGATCTGCTGCTGCTCTGCTCGCCTCGGGTCCTGCTTGTCTCTGAGTGTGAACATCTGGCCCCACGGAGTGTGACCCAAAGCAATTTTGATTATACGCAATTTGTGCCTTTGGTATAAATCCAATATGTATGTAAAGTGGCTCTTACGTTCCCACATACCTATTGTCTCGTCACGTGTGTTTAAACGAAACACTGCATCGACAGGGAGTCCGAAAAGCAAAAAACATTACTATTTATGTGTTTTATATGGAGCTACAACTCAGTTCAGAAATACCACAAATTAACTCAAAACACATACTACTCTAAACTAAAACAGCCAAGATGGTTTGACATAGTTTTTGAAGTAAGGATTAAACATGAGGGACAAGCCGTGAACTTGTAACATACCAGGGTACTCCATGGTGTCAAGAGGTACTTTATAAAGTTTGCTGAAGAAAGACTCAGGATGAAGGGCCACAGCGGCCCCCACACAGCTGAGTGCCAGCGCCTTCACACTGACCCTCACGTCCCTGTCCGGAACCAGCACTGCAAGGAAACCACCAAGGTCACCTTCAAAGCAGCCAACATGTAGTTTCCACAGGAACAAAACTAGACCCACCAACCCGGCTCGCCCATCATCCCCTCCCTTCTCCCATCAGTCAGTGAAAGCCACTGCTGGGCCCAGACTCTAGTCCCTCCCTCTGCTACGGCAATGAGGCGCGAATCAGTCACCAAGTTGACCTTGAGACCTCGGTATTTCCTTCGGCTCTGTACCTTTCTTTTTTGTTGTTGTTTTTTGTTTTTTTGTTTTAATTTTATTGTATTAGTCACCGTACAATACATCATTAGTTTTTGATGTGGTGATCCACGATCCATTGTTTTCATATAACACCCAGTGCTCCATGCAGTACGTGCCCTCCTTAATACCCATCACCAGGCTAACCCATCCCCCCACCCCCCTCCCCTCTAAAACCCTCAGTTTGTTTCCCGGAGTCCATAGTCTCTCATGGTTCATCTCTCCCTCCGATTTCCCCCCCTTTATTTTTCCCTTCCTTCTCCTAATGTCCTCCATGCTATTCCTTATGTTCCACCTGTACCTGCCTTTCTATACATACCATTTTTTTCCCCAGTCAGCAAAAATGAAGCAGATAGAAGGCGGACACAATGGACAAGAGGAACAGAATCGTCATCGGTAGACTGTCCTATGTCACCTTTGATCCGGCAAGGCTACAACAAAGAAAGTAACACTTGTTTGTCTTAGGATCAAGGAACCAATACATTCATTCACTAGTGTGTTCAACAAACAGGTCCAGAGCAGCAATTATGCCGGGTGCTAGGGACACAGAGATGCCCATCTTTGTCACACACAAGCCTGGCCTCACAGACCACGGTGGAGCAGAATCAGAGCGCGGTCAGAGGCAGCTAAGCTACACGGTCACGTGGGCGGTGGCAGGGATGAGCTCAGTGTGCAGGGAGGGCACGCTGGAGAGAAGGCAGCTGGGAGCCGGCACTCAGGAGAGGCTGCTCAGGAAAGGGCAGCATGAGCCACCATGGGGAAGCTACTTAGGCACAAGCAAGAGCCCTGGGAATGCCCAGAGCTGAGAGGGAGCAGACCTGGCTGGAGCCGGACCTGGAAGGAAGTGCGGAGGCTACAGGATGACTGAGCATCTACAGAGGAACTAAGTACAAAACTGTTTCCTGCCCTCAAGGAATTTAAAATTAAGGGAAGACAAGACACAGGTAAAAAGGTAAGCAATTCAGAGATATTTTACAAGCAGTTCAATGGATAAGTCAACAACAACAAAGCCCAAACCTGATTAAAAACTGAGCAAAGGACTTGAACAGACATTTCCCCAAAGACAACATACGAATCACCAGTAAGCATATGAAAAGATGACCCACATCACTCATCATTAGGAAAACGCAAGTCAAAACCACAGTGATATACAACCTTACTCCCAGTAGGATGGCTACTCTCAAATAAAGCCAGAAAATGGCAAGCCTTGGCAAGGACATGAGGAAACTGGAACCCTGTGCACGGCTGGTGGGAACGCAAACTGGTGCAGTCCCTATGGAAAACGGTGCCGAGAGTCCTCAAAAAAACCTAAAACTAGAACTACCAGAGGACCCTGAAATTCTACTTCTGGGTGTATATCCAAAAGAACTGAGAGCAGGGTCTTGAAGAGATGCCTGTAACCCCATGTTCACAGCAGCCAAAAGACAGAAGTAACCCAACTGTCCATCAACGGATGAACAGAAAACCAAAATGGGGTCCAGCTGCACAGTGGGATATTATTCAGTGTCAGAAAGCAAGGGAATCCTGACACCTGCTACAACACAGATGAACCCTGAGGACATTATACCCAGTGAAATAAGCCAGTCACAAAAGAACACTGCATGGTTCCACCTGTATGTGCTTCCTGGGGTAGTCACATCCACAGAGACACAAAGTAGATGGTGGGAGCCAGCAGCTGGGAGGAGGGAGGAATGGGGAGTTAGTGGTTAATGGGGACAGAGTTTCAATCTGGGGAGAGGAAAAGAGTTCTGGAGATGGAGGGTGGTAATGGCCACACAACATGAATGCACTTACGCCACTGAGCTGCCCATTTCACAGCAGTTACAATGGCAAACTTTATATGTACTTTACCACCATAAAACAAACAAATGCATAATTCAATGAACAGAAACAAGAAATGTTGCAAGACGATGCATGACCATCAAATGAATGGCCCAAGAAATCAGGTGAGGTAGCAATCAGTGTAAGACAGATTTGTCTGGGAAGGACTCTCAAGGAAGCAGAACTTCAGGCAATTCTCAAGGATTTGGGTAGTACCTGGAGAGGCAGAAAAGAAGAGCACATCTAGGAAGGGGTCACTATTTAAGGGGAAATAGCTGAGCAGCTCAGAGATGGGAAAGCTAGAAGCAAGGCACACGGACAGTAGCCAGAGTAATTTTTTTTTTTTTTTAAAGATTTTATTTATTTATTTGAGAGTGAGAATGAGAGAGAGCACGAGAGGTGGGAGGGTCAGAGGGAGGAGAAGCAGACTCCCCGCCGAGCAGGGAGCCCGATGCGGGA